TGTCATATAGGGTATTATGGAGGTTGACCCTAAATTCTTCTTTCTAATTTGAGTTTTTAGAGGGTCATGTTGGAAAGGAAAATGAAAAGACTCTATGAGCTAGTTCAAATCCCCGTCTTCTTGAAGGTTGCATAAATGGGCTTTTGCTATGGAATGAGGCTCTATGTCACCTTGACCTCCAAAGAAAGCATCTCCCAGGGTTTTTGGGACTCCTTAGGCACCTAGATGCCTTAAATTACTTTGGCGCTGTGGGCTAATGCACTGGACTGCAAGCTTGGTTTGAACCGTAAGTTCGGCAGTTCAAATTCACCAGTTGCTCCCCAGAAACCCTATACAAGGTCATTATGAGTGGGAACCGACAGGATGGCACTCAATAAGGAATAAAAGCAGCTTGATATGACATAGCATGACTCTGAAAATGGCTCAAAGATCCTCCTCCTCTCTTCTGAATTAGCGAAAAATAAAATTAGCCGTAAGTCTCAGATGCGCTGGCAGGATTGTCCTCCCCTCCCCAAACCCAGGCCCCTCTTCTCATACCCCCACATCTCCAGATCACAGCTGTGTTCTAGAATTACCTGCTCTTCTTTCTCCTACTGAAAGCAGCCCTTAACTAAAGGAAGCTAGCCCACTTTTAATGATATAGAACACCTGAATGTGTCCATGGTTTTCTTTAAGGGGTATTTGCATTTAAATAGAAAATCACGCTTTTATTACATAGGAATTAAATTCAAATAGCAGGACCCCAGGTATCTCACCAGGTTGGGAAATTTGGGATGCAGGGACCTCCCTAGATATCCTTGAATCTAATAGCACATAGACACCCACAGCTTAATGCCATCTGTCCAACGGCATGGGCAACTGGGTTGTATCAATGTTGAGTTCGTTTTATTTTCAAAAAGCTTTCGCTTTAAAAAGGAATTTTAGTTCAGAGGCAAAGATCCTCATGAGAAAACTCAATAAATTGAAACGATCTCCTACGACTGTTGCTGGAGTCCTAGTGTGGCGCTGTCGGATCAGCACTGGACTGCTAACCGCAAGGTTGGCAGTTCAAATCCACCAGCTGCTCCTCAGAAACCCTACACAGGGTTGCCATAAATTGGAACCGACTCAATGGCACTTAACAACACCATTGCTAGGAATCTCTGAGTAGCGTAAGTGATTAATGAGTTTGGCTGATAACCTATAGGTTATAGGTTCAAATCCGCCAGGAGTATGTGGGCAGAAAGGTCTGGAAATCTACTTCTGCGAAATTAGCCACTGAAACTTCTGTGGAGCACATGGTAGACTCAGCTCAACACAACTGGTGTGGGGTTTGTTGTGGTTTGGTACCATTGTTTAGTTGTTAAGTGTCATCAAGTCAGATCCAACTCATAATGGCCCTATATAGAGTTTCTGAGGAGCAGCTAGTGAGTTTGCATTGCCCACCTTGTGTCTCAAATCAACCTTGCAGTCCAGTGCTTATCTTTCAGAGCCACACCAGGACTCCAATGACTAGTTGGTAACTATGGCTTTGTTCATTTTTGGGGAAAGATCTTTTATCAGGTTGCTCTTGGGGTAGCAGTGATATATTCTTGAGTGTTTCTGGCTACTGTTGACATTTCTGGGCAATTTTAGATTTTTTTTTTTTTACCTGCAAAACAGAAAGCACATTTATCTGAGCAGAACAACCAACAATGAGTGAGACACCAAAGTTCAAATAGCACACTGCTGTAGCCAGCGGCCCCCACCCTTGTCATTGCTCAGGTCTGCAATAACTGGAATGCAGAAATCCAAGTCTCAACTTTCTCCCCACAAGTTTCCTTTAAAATCAGAAGTGAGAAGGAAATGAAATATGAGTCTAGCCCTGAGGGTTTGTCACTAGAGTCAGTGAAAGCCACGAAAGCATTCCTGCATGGGCGAACAAGGATGCTAGGAGGCAGTGACTTCTAGGGATGACAGGCAGCAATGCCAAGTTCAAGGACAGCCATAGGAAGTGGCTGTTTGATGGAGATAGCAGGTGTCTTCTGTACTGGCTTAGATATCATATTTTTGCTAAGAGGCGTCGAGTTGGTTTTCTCATAGCAACATTGTATAGGGTTTCTGAGGAATGCCTGGTGAGTTTGAACCACCGACCTCATGGTTCAAACTGACCTTGTGGTCCAGTACTTATTTGATAGCACCACACCAGGATTCGTAAGTGCCACGTTTTATTTATAAAGAACTATGCAATTTACAAAATGCTTCCTTGGATATAATCTCATCTCAAATCCCATTCATATTTTTTCTCGCACCTACCTGGATCTGTGCTAGCTCAAGACTTTCCACATGCCTTGGACCTAGGACTTGGGCAATTTTGCTATCCCATCATCAGGGAGAGATACTAAAGTCAAGGGAAATCAGAGGTGTCATTTCTGTCTTGGAAGAAGTACAGCAGAATGCTACATAGAAGAGAGAATGGTGAGACTTCATCTCATGTACTTTGGACATGTTGTCAGGAGGGACCAGTCCCTGGAGAAGGGCTTCATGCTGGCTAAAGTAGAGGATCAACAAAACAAGAGGAAGACGCTAACTGAGATGGACTGACTCGACAGCACTTAAAACAGCTTCCAAATCCCTTGTTATCGATGTGACCACAATGCCTCCTACTCATCAGAGTCACTGTCAGATTACCCAATTGTCGTTGTGGTTATTAACTGCTGTCGAGGTGGTTCTAACTCATAGCGACCCTATATAGGGTTTCCAAGGAGCGGCTAGTGGGTTTGAACTGCCGACCCTGTGGCTCAAACTGACCATGCGGTCCAGTGCATTATCCTGCAGTGCCACACCCAGACTGCAAATCCCAATAAACATGGTAAACATGAGCTGACTTGTGCTTACTTACTAATCTGTACTAAACAATTTCATTTTTCACAGCACCAAAGATTCCGCTTCTAGGTCTGGCTGGCATCTGTCTCTCTCCCAAATCCACAGCACATTCCAGCAAAATCAATGCTTTTCACTTCTATAATTCCTGAATTCAGTAAGCAAGGTAAGCATGGGCTTACTTATGTTTACTTACTAATCTTTAGGGAATGATTTCACATGGTAAGGAAACTGTGGTGAACTACCCCCCGCCGTGAAATTATTTCCTACAGAATAGTAAGTAAGTACCAGTCAGTCTGTGCTTACCTTGTTTAGTGGGCCATCTGCCTCCAATCATAATAGTAGCGGTGTGCCATGGAGTCAGTTCCGACGCATAGGGTTTCTGGGGCAGTAAACCTTCACAGGAGCAGAAAGCCTCATCTTTCTCATGCAGAACGGCTGGTAGTTTCAAACTGTTGACCTTGAGGTTAGCAGCCCAACTCAATCACTACGCTACCAGAGCTCCAATCAGAGTGGTTCTGAACAAATTCCAAAGCCTGCTCTGACATCACTTGGACCACGATGGATATTATTGTAGCTATTTCTATTTTGAGTTACCGTCCTGTTGATTCTGACTCAAAGGATCCCACCTGTGCACAGTAGAACTGCTCCGTAGGGATTTCAAGACTGTGACCTTCCAGAGGCAGAAAGCCAGGTCTGTGTTCCAAGGCATCATTGACTGGGATCGAAAGGCTAACCTTTCAGCTGGCTGTCAAGCGCTAAACCCACTTGGACCACCCAGTGGCTCCATTCTCTCTCCAATCAGGAGACAAAAATAATGAGGTCTGCATAAGACTCTGACTGACTGTAACAAAACTAATCCGAAACTCCCTTTAGAAGCACTATAAAAATATTACAATTCAATCCTAGCCCTCCGTCAAAGTGTTTCACTTAATTCCCTATGGTCTCAGGTTGGCCATTCCCTAAGGGATGTGAGGAAAATGACCATGCTGCCAAGGACTTTAAGTCTTATTGTTGTTGTTAAGTACTATGGAGTCAGTTCCGACTCATAGTGACCCTGCACAGGGTTTCTGAGCCTGTAAATCTTTACAGGAGCAGAACTCCTAATCTTTCTCCCGCGGAACCGCTGGTAGTTTTGAACTGCTGACCTTGAGGTTGGCAGCCCGACTCGTAACCACTATCCTTTGAATTGGAAGCTACCTAAATGCTGTGGAATGCATTTAAATAGGAATTGCTCCTAAGGCAGAAAATGGAAGCATAACAATATATTAATCTTCCTTGGAAGAGTTATTTCTTACATTGTTATATATTTTGTTGTTGTTGTTGTTAAGTGTCTTTGAATCTGTTCCGACTCCCAGCAACCCTGTATAGGGTTTCCAAGGCTGGTGGGTTTGAACCACCAACCTTCTGGTTCAAGCCAACATTGTAGTCCAGTGCTTATCCTACCATGCCAGACCCAAAAAGCTCTTCAGGTATAAGTTGAATTAGGTGGCTAACTCCTGATTTTAGATATTACAATATAATATCTTCCCTCCCCTTCAAAAAAAAAAAAAAAATTTGAATCTGCCTTATATGGAGAAACTCTGACAATAAAGGAGCGAGTTTTGCCTGATAAAGCAATAAAAACAAATTCAAGAAAAACTGATTGGATTCTACTGCCGATTTCCACAGACTGTGTACCCTTCAGCTGTGGTACAGGCTCTAACCCTTAACCTCCTTCAATCCAAACTAACCAAGACCCTTGCCATTCTTCTTCTCAAGGGATCTTTTCCCATTCTGGGCCCCTCCGAAATATCCTCAAAGGACTGACTGATCATAACTTCCAAGTGGTGCTTCATGGCATCCAAGGAGACTCCAAAAAGGTCATGGAAAAACCCCAATGTCTTTCTACTCCATTTTTCTACACATTTCTAAAGCCCCCGCATATAACTCATTCTTTCAATTTTTCAGTTTCCATTAAACATAACTACATCTTACACTGGCATCCATGTTTAGTTTGCTTCCCAGCCTTTGAATGCATTAAGTCAAACTGAGACTAAAAAATGACAAAGAAAAAGCATCAAGAGAAAATAAAATAAAGCACATGAAGAAATGAAAAAGAAAAGGAATGAGTAGAAAAAGAATGAAAAAATGTACTAGTGAAGTTAGGAAGCACTTACTGAATTGCTGTATGGAGACAGAAGGTAAGCAGAGAAAAGTTGCAGTTGTAGAAAGTTTTCTATAGACACAGACAGGGCCTCATTCCTCTGATATATGTAGACGGTTTGCTATTAGCTGCCATGGGTGCTTCCTCTGTTCATGTACTTTGTTTATTCCCAATCTTCTGTCAAAATACTGGGACTCTAAAAATAAGATGTGTCAATGACCACACCGATGCCCTACATGATTAATGACCTTCATTTGCTGATGGGACACAACTCAAAAGGAAGAGAAACAGCTGTAAACACCCATTAAAATTTGGAACATGGAATGTACGAAGTATGAATCTGGGAAAATTGAAATATTTCAAGCAAGTAAGGCCGCACAGGAGGTACTAATTCATCTCTGCCAAGAAATCTGGAAGACAACTATCTAGCCGACTGATTGGAAGAGATCCATATTTGTGCCCATTCCAAAGAGAGGTGACACAATGGAATGTGGAAATCAATGGACAATCTCTTTGATATCCCATTCGAGTAAAGTTTTGCTAAAGGTAATACAGAAATGGCTACAATCATACATTGACAGAGAACTTTTGGAGGTTCAAGGTAGATTCAGAAGAGGTTGTGGAATGAGGGATATCATTGCTGATTTCTGGTGGATCTTGGCTGAAAGCAGAGAATATCAGAAAGATGTTTACCTGTGCTTTATTGACTATGCAAAGTCTTTCGATTGTGTGGATCATGAGAAGCTATGGACAACATTGAGAAGTA